CCCAAATCAAACAAAAAACTTTGAAAACTGTAAAGCTCTCTGCAAGATATCTCTATAAGATATTGTTTTCCCTTCTGTAAAGGGGTGAATAGTAGCCCCTCAAAATTCGCAGACACTGGGACCCTCAGAATGTGATCTTATTTAGAAATACAGTCTTTGGAGATATAATTAGCTAAGAAGTCAGACTAGATTAGGGTAGACTGTAAATCTAATGACTGATATTCTTACAGGATAAGACACTTATGTATGTGGACACACAGAAAGAAGGTCATGTGATAACAGAAACAGGCATAGAATGACACAGCTACAGACCAAGGAATGCTGAGCTGCTGGTGACTACAGGAAGCTAGAAGACAGGCAAGGAGGCAGGCAACAAATTGTACCACCGAACCTCCAAAGGAACCAGTTCTGTTGATGCTTTGATTGCAGACTCATGGCCTTCAGAAATGTGAAAGAGTAAACTGGTGTTTGAACTCACCAATTTGGTGGTAATTTGCTAAAGCAGTGCTAGGAAATGAACAAGTTATCTTTCAACCATTTTGTGTCCCACCATCCTAAAGCACACTGGAAGAAGATGTGCCCATGGATAAGCAGGAGGGTTTTTGCCTGATTGTGGCTCTTTTGGCCAGCTCACTTTGTTTCATTAGAATAGGTTCTGGAAGAGAAATGGGGTTCTATGTGGCTTCAGAGAAAATAGTTTTCTATGGACAGCCATGTCAGGCATCTGTTTAGTTGCTGACAATCCCCAAAATAAAATCCAAATGAGATTTAAAAGATGTCCTTAGGTTTTTCTAGCTCCACCTCTCAGGTTTCTCTCTTTCTGTGGGCTTCACCCTCTTCAGGTGCAGATGGCTTCTCCATGGAAGCTTCTTCCAGGGAATCCCAGGGAATAAGTGTGCAGACAAATCCTATTTATTTGTCCTCACAGACACATCTTATAGCAGTGGCTTTTAACTAAGGCTAGTTTTCCAATGACTGAAGGATTTTTGGCAATATTTGGACATAGTTTTGTTGATCACAATTCAAGCTTGCTGTTGGCCATCTACTGGGAATGGTGCTAAATGCCCTAAATGCCTAGGACATAGTTATACAAACCAAGGAGTCAATGGGGTTCATACTGGGAAATGCTGTTCTAGAGCATCTCTTCTGAAAGTGATGGTGGAGATGTTTCTAGAGGACTCAGGTTGGCCTCGTTTTGACCATGTGCCCACCTTGAACCAATCAACGTGGCCAGAATCACAACCTCTGGCCACTTGAGGTATGGGACCAAATGGCCAACCCCATCTAGACTACACCAGAGGGGCAGTTCTTAGGGGAAAATGTTTGCTCACTATAAATTTGGTTTTAGCAGTGAAGTAGAGTACCTCAGATTCTTCTGACTGTGAAATATTATTTAAAAGAAGCAAGGTAGCCTTGGTCTTGGCACAGCTCCAAAGCAGCACAACGAGAGAGAGCTCTGCTGTGCCTTCAGCAAGTGCTTACAGAATGTCGGGACTCTGCTGGGCCCCATGCCAACTACAGGGGCCAGGGTGGTGAACTTCACCATTAGGGTTCTTACACTCTGCTAACATTTGCAGGCTAGGAGAGGAGGGGTAAGGCAAATAAACATCCACTTAAAATGAAGACAAAGAAAATAAAAAAGAATAAGGTGTATTAGGTACATGTACCCATGCCTCATGATGAATATAATCATTATGTATTGCAAACATGGACTAATAATTTTTTAAAAAAAAATAGAGTTAAGTGCTAAGAAGGAAGAGGAAGTAAGAGAGAGAGAGAAACACTACAGGAATGACCTCTCTTAGGAAAATGAGACACTGGGCATATGTAAGAGCCAAGGTGAAAACTGGGTTTTGTGCTGAAATGTCAGCTAGTGGTTGCTGATGAACACCAAGCTTGGCTCTGACCTAAAAAATCCTTTGTAAATGGTCATAGGTTTTGAAAGTTAGAGTATTGGTTTATTTTCTTTGGTCTGATTTTAAGTAGACTATGAAAGAAAACAGAAGAAGATCCCTTTCTGCCCTTCCTAACTATCACTGGCATTGGGGCCAAGGTCAAGAGCATCACACAGTTAAATCCAGCCTTTCCCAGCAGTGCACCTACCAAGAGATGAAATAAAGCTAGGATGAGGGTATCTGTGCAGCAACTGGCTCTGAGGCCTTGACACAGAACTGTTCTGGGAAGTCTTAGATGAGGTTTCTTCAGGGCACTTAGTCTGGCTCCTTTCAAGCCTCTATGACATTAGAACAATCCAGACATTTTGCTTTATTAATTAGGTGAGTGTTCCAGATGAGCAAGGGAAAGGACAAGGCCAAATCCATCCTATAGTTTGGCTACCCAAGTCACTTTGGCATCAGGGCTGGAGAATAGAGTGCCACACCTGACTGGTGACTCAGGCCTTGTTAGTACATTTCCATCGTCAGAGACTTCCCCTTCTTTCCTTCTGTGGACCTTTGGGTTTGGCTGTGCTGACTACTCAGGCCCTTCAGTGATTCCACCAGTCTTTGTATTGTCCTCTCCTCTCACACTGTAGATTTATCAGTGGTTTTGACAACATGTTTTCAATTGCTCAATAACCTTGCCAGCAGGGCAGCATAATCTCAGATAATGAACTCCTAAGTAGTTGCCTCATTTTGTATTTAAAAATCTCTGATATTTAACAATGTCACTCACTGTTAATAGTTTCTAGAGGCATCTTCTATAGAAGGATGCTTCTATAGGCATCAGTCTAAGCAGTTTGGAAAAAAAAAACATGTTGACATATTATTATCCATTTTATTTTCAATTCTGTGCTGGGAGGTAGGAAGGTGGACATGACTGACCTCATCTGGTAGAAAAGCCGAGACTTTGGAGCTTCCAGGTAGCAGCAACAGTGGCTTCAGACTGGATTTCCTGAGCATTCTGCCATTCTTCTCTCCTGAAAGACCATGCAGATTTCTTGAGTGTGGCTGAGCTGATCTGCAGATGACAAGAGTTGGTCCTGAATACTGTCACTACCATCATGGCAGGACGCTTAAGAATTGTCATTATTTAAAGACAGTGGTGGCATCTTTGTTTCTGCTTGTAATTTTGCCAGTACCACAGATGTATTTATAATGTCACTCAGTCTGCGTGGGGAGGTGAACGGATTCACACAGTCCCGACTAGTAAATTGTAGCTGCCGAGTACATGCTCTTACTTCTGCTGATGTACCATGGGAGTGTGGGGCTGGAAAATGTTATGTCTGGGGGAAGAGAGAGACAGCAGCAAGAAGTGAGACAGGAGGTGGGCTCCAGGAGGGAGGGAGGGTTGTGCTCTTGCTGTTGCTGTTTTGTGTTCCAAGCTGTTGTTGGAAACCTAGGAGAAAATGCATAATATGAATCTCTCTCTTTCCATGTCTCTCTCTCTCGCTCTCTTTCTCTCTCTCTGTCTCTCTCTCTCTCTCTCTCTGCAGGTGTTCAAACTTAGGGCCTCATGCATGCTAAGCAGATGTGCTACATTCCTGGCTGTCATGTTTATCTCTAATTTGCATTTGGACCTTTTTGTTTTTAACATTTTTTCATCCCATAAGCTACCATTAAATTGCAGACTACTTAATCTATCTTGTATCTCTTTCAATTACTCTTCTCAACTTCCCAAAATAACAGGTGATAAAATTGTGCTTCTTTCCCCATTCCCTTCACAAAGCTATAAAATCAAAAAGAATCACACTCCATGGCCAAGCAACTAAAATATCAACAAATATGGTTGACCCATCCACAGACATATTCACAGCCCCTATTTGATATAAATCTGTCCTGCCATTAAACCTCACAATTCAAGGATTATGCCCTGTTGGATATGGTGGCATCCCAGACAAGATGATGTTATGGGGCAGGGTGATATCACAGAGTAGGCACCCTAAAAATATTCATGCAATGAATGGATCAGAATTCATAGGAGGCTCATCATATTTGACTAACTCATCCACTTTTGTCAAGTTTAAGATAGTTTAAGGTTCACTGAAAGAGAAGGAGAACATATTTTTGGCAGTGAAGAAGTCCCCAAAATATGAAGCCACTGGGCAGACATAACCTGTTTGTGGGTGGTTAGATGTGACCGTATTTGTATTCCTCTCTCACATAATTTCTTTAAACTTTACTCTGTGCTGTGTGTGGAGGGGAGAGGAAAGAGTTCCCAGGAGAAAACTCAGGAGTTGTGTTTCTTCTCTTTCTTAGGCCATGGTAAACTGGAAATGAAGAAACAAACTGAAACAAGCATTTATTTTAAAGTTTTCCACTTCTGCAGAATTATTTTAGAATAAAGCAAAAGTCACGTATGTTAGCTGAACAGCTTTTGGTCTATATTCCCAGAGAAAGACCAAGCCAGGTGGCTTGGAAGAAACTCTGAACTGGCCCGATTCTCTCCTTCTATGGCAGGAGAGTTGATTTAGGATAGAGTGGAAGCTGTGAAAGCAGCAGTCCCAGAATGGCCCTGACTGCAGTCAGTCCATTCTAGATTTTCTGTGAGTTACGGTGGACCACAGGAATAGGACAGCAAGGGAGAAAGAAGAGGCTTGGGCTCAGCCTAGGGATCTAGTCCAGTAGGGTGTCCCAAATGACAGTGTTGTGGCTGGGATCCACAAAATACTCCAGAAGGTTCATTGTGTTGAAGGCTTGGTTGCAGCTGATGGGCTTTGGGAAGTGATTGGATCTTGAAGACTTTAACTTCATCAAGTGGATTAGCCTACTAGTGTGCTCATTAACTAAGTAGGCTTGTTAGGAAGTGGAGCCTAATTGGACAAAACAGGTCACTTGGGGCATGGATTTGATAGATATATTTTCTCTCCAGACTCTTCCTCTCTGGCTCTCTCTTGTTTTCTGCTTCCTGGGTGCTATGAAGTGATCAGTTTTTTCCTCTTACACACCATGATGCACTGCCTCACCATAATCCAGAAACAATGGAGCCAAGTGACCGTAAACTGAAACCTCTGGAATCATGAGACAAATGTAACCTTTTCTACTCTATGTTTATTTTCTCAGGTATTTTGTCACAAGGGTGCAAAGCTGCCCAATACGGATAGCGTCCTATCCTGCAGGGGGACGTGAGTTCACCTACTGCTGAGTCCCACTCCAGTCTGATCCCGTAAGTAGGGTATATATTTAGAAATCTATAGAAATTTACTATATTTGAAGTGAGGTGGGTAATAGTATCATGCTTCTGAAAAAACTATTGCATTTGAGAGCAAAGATCTAGCTCATGAAGAATGGGATAAATTACAGCAAAGTAAGTCTCAGGGTCCTGGGCAAGTTAGTTCATAGAATATAAGCCTGGGTTCTGGAAAGCAAGGAAATAATTAAAAAGCCTTGGAAGGATTAGGGATTAGGCAGACATGTGAACAGTTTTGGAGTGGAGCAGGGCTGTCTGTGTATTTTCTGTTGCTATATAAATAAATACCCAAATGGGCAATTCATAAAGAAAAGGAGGGCCGGGGATTTAGCTCAGTGGTTTCCCTGCCTGCTGTGCAAGTGCAAGGACCCAAGTTTGATCCCTGGTTCCAAAAAAAATAATAATAATAAAAGGAATTTATTTCTTGTGGTTCTGGGGGATAAAGATCCCCAAGTAAAGGACTGCATCTGATGAAAGCCTTCTTGCTGGTGGGGACTCTGTAGAGTGCAAGGTTGTATAACGCATTGTCACATGGCAGACAGAGCAAGCTTGCTAACTTCGATCTCTTTTCTTTCTCATAAAGCTACTAAAGGAATCGTGGGGATTCCCCCTTATGACTTCCTCTAATCCTAATCACCTCCTGAAGGCCTCACCTCCAAATATCATAACCCTGTAACTTTGGAGATGAGGTTTCCGCTTGAGTTTGGAGAGGACCAACAGTGGGATAGCTCTGAAGGCAGCTGGGTGCCCAAGTTTACCACATGAACGCTGTACACAGCAATACTCCTTCTAAGCCCCTTCTTTGGATGGCAGTGATCCCACTGAACTTTCTGGGGACTTCTCAGGTTCCCAGAGTGCAGACTGGTTGTGCTGAGAAGTTGAGGAAGACCAGGACTGGCAAACCATCCTTCGGCACTAAAAGAAACAGCGCTTCAAAATGGCAGCCTTAGGTGAACAATTGCAAAAGATCCTAGTTTCCTCATAAAAGAAGTAAGACTATTTGTGTAGGATTTGTAGCCTACCTATTACTGGACTAAAAATGAGAAATCTTTTTGTTGTAATGAAGACCTTATAGAGAGGGCTAGTGAGTAATCAAATAGGTTATTAATTTGAACCATTAAAAATACACATATATAACTTAAACATTATATTTTAATTTAAAACCCATAAATATGTACTGATTTACCCTTGGTTTTTTTCTTTTTTTCCTTCTCTTTTCTTTCTTTCTTTTTTTTTTGAGACATGGTCTTGTTGTGTAGTCCAAGCTGCTTGATCTTGAGGTACTCCTCCTGCCTCAGCCTCCTAAATTCTCAGATTAGAGCCGTGCAGCACCATGCCTTGCTTTACTTATCTTTCTATGTGTAGCTGAGGTCTCTTCTTTGAGCATAAATCAGCTAATTGTGGTTCTCTATCATTTTCATGTATAAAGTATCCCCATGTTTTCTCTATGATTTCCAGTTTCAGTTTCAGCTTTAAAATGCAGGAAGGACTTCAGGATTTATGGACTCTTCATGACTCTCTTATAACCGCAAAACTCTCCCAGAGTGCTTTTCTACTTTCCTTCTTCACAAGACAACATTTACAGGATTTATCTTTCTGATTCAACTTACTTTTTTTTTAAAAAAAACACAGTGGCTATTTTTTCACATCCACATTTTGGCCATAAGAGTTATTTACGGAAGTTGTGTAACTGCAATGAAGAAAGCTAGCTAAGCAGGTTGGGGAGCTGAATCTTTTGTGAATGCACAGCTCAGTGAAGTGTGCCACCTCCCAGTGGGGAGGACCAGCTGCTCACACTTACCAATCAGGCTGTGTCAAGGAGGGAAAGGGCAATGCAGGTTGAGTTTGTGCACCAGCTCATTGCAGTGTACTGAGAGAGCTTCCACTGCACTCCTCAATATGATAGAGTTTGATTAGCTGGACTTTTCGCTAGTGTATATACCCAAACCTAATACATATAATTAAAATGAATAATGATGTCCAACATTTAATGAATACTTTCCATGCTTACAGGCCGAGATAAATGCTTTATATGCAGACTTATGTATTTGATGACATTTATTTAATTTACTTATTTATACTAGGGACTGAGCCAAGAGCCTTTGCATTGAGTTACACCCATAGTCCTTTTTATTTTGAAACAGGGTCAGCCTGGCTAAAGTTGCCCAGGATGTTCTCAAACTTGTGATCCTCCTGCCTCGGCCTCCCAGAGTGTTGGGATGACAGATGTGTACCACCACACCTGGCTTTGTCCCCATTTTATAAGTGAACACATCGAGACATAGGGAGGTTATGACCCTAGCCCAAAGTCACCCAACCAGTGTATGCACATGCTCTTAATGAAATCCATCAATGCCCAAAATATTTAATCTTTGCACCAAACTGTCTCATATTGCTGCAATAAATGTGAAGGGAGATGACATGTAGAAGCTGTCAGACAATCACTGTAAATTGGATTTCTCCAGACAAATACTTTATAGTTATTCCCTTTAAAATTCAATATAAACAATTCTTTTAATTCTTTGGGGAAGATACCCAGCTGGGGAATAGCTGGGTCAAATGGGACCACTAGCCCTAGTTCTTTGAGGTATTTCCATACTGATTTCCACAGTGGTTGCACCAGTCTGCACTCCCACCAACAATGGAGATGGGTTCCTTCCTCTCCACTACCCCGCCAGAATTTGTTATTGGTTGATTTCTTGATAGCAGCCATTCTTTCTAGGGTAAAGTGGAATCTCAGTGTTTTTTTCATCTGCATCTCTTGAATGACCAGTGATGCTTTACATTTTTTCATATGTTTATTTGCTGCTTTTATTTCTTTGTCTGAGTGGATACATATTGAGGCCATACTCTTAAGTGAAATAAATAGGACACACGTGTAAATACTGAATAGTTTCTCTAGTGTGAGAAACTGAAAGTGTAAATAAGGATTAAAATGATTAAAATGAATAATTGATAATCTGAAATAGAAATAAAAGCTCCAAAGGGGTAGGGGAAGTGGGAAGGGAAGGGGAAAGGAAAGGAAAGAAGGGAAAGGAAAAATTATGAGAAAAGATAAAAATGGAATCAAAGTCTATGTAAATAGGGAAGGGTGGAGGGGTGAAGGGCACACAAGTAATGGGGAAGAAATAAGAACCAAGATACATCATGTACAGGTACAAGCACCCAATGATAAATGTAAATGTATTGTATACCTAAAATGTACCAATAAAAGAATTTAAGCAAAAAAAAAAAAGTTCAATATAAATAGTCAGTTAAACTTTTTAGTCCTCAGGAACCTAGGTCAGACTTTGGTTAGACCCTTTTTTTCCCCATAAAGAGGAATTGCTGCATAATGTAGTTAGGCACAGAAAGCAACACAGGTTAGTGTATCTATTCCATATTGATTTAGCACTTGCACATAGGAAGTATGAACACATAAAGAATGTGGCTATTTCCAGAAGAAATAGATGGCCTCCCTACTCATAAGAATGAGATTTGTGGCCCAGTTGGAGGGATAGGATTGTCCACTTGGGGATAAACTGTGGAGGTTAAGACAGCCTCTCCAGTGAATGGTACAGACTAGAAAAGCTCCAGGATTGGCTAGAGGCCAGGATCATGGCTTCATGAAGGACTTGGGGTTGATGTGGGGTTTTGAAAAGGGGCAAATGATCAAGGCAGGGGACATTCCAAGCAGAAGAAAGAGTGAACATAGTCCCTGGAGTAGGTCTGTGCACTTGGGGATCTTATTTGTTTGCAGAAAGGGACTTAGCAAGGAGTGGAGATAGAGTGATATAGTATAGTGACAGCTCAGGGGATAAACTGAAATGTTTGTCTAAGGAACAGAAGTACCATCCTTCGTGCAATGACTTCATCAGAGACTGTGGTTTTATGTTTTTAAGAATGAGTATATTTGACTTAGATGAATGGAAAGATTCCTAATCCACTCATTTGTTCCATGGCAAAACAAAATATTTAGGACACAGCAGGAGATGCTGTGGATGCCTCTTTATCCTCTTTCCTTTCTCCACCTCCAGAGCTTACATCTGTCTGAGGGATTTTTTTTTCTTTCTTCCCATTCCCTCCCATATCAAAGTGCATCTGCTGACAGACAGCCTAATGTACCTTAAGGAAAACCCCAAATCTTACTAATTTTGGTAGATATCCTGTTAATTTGGATATCCAGCAAAACTCAAATGAGCTTCCCTTTTCTCTACTCCTCAGTTTAAAGCTGTATAAAACACGGCTAAATGCAATACTTCTGGACAGCAGGGGTTACCAACCAAAGATTTCGTTTTAAAGAACAAAAAAGGGAAAGGAAAAACAAAACCACCACGGATACAGAGGAGGAACCCTGAGGCAAAAATGGCGTTTCCTGTAGACAGTCTTCCGGAAGCAGTGCGCCTCCTCACAAGGCGCCAGCACCCTTCTGTGAGGGCAGGCCTTCCTCCATCCAGAGCGCAGCCGCAGAGCCGCCCTGAAGCAGACGCCGGTGGATGCGCCGCAGCCGCAGCAGGCAGAGGAGGATGGAGAGCAGGACCACCAGGAAGCAGCCGGAGGACAGGTAGTGGTTGTAGACAAAGGAGATGCCCCGCCAGTGTGAGTGACTGGCCCGGAACACCTCCTGCTGGATGTCTCTCAAGGGCAAAAAGCGAGTCCTGTAGAGGATGGCCCTCAGGGTCCATTGCACTTCCTTGTCATACACCTGCAAGGTGGTCTTGAGGTTTCTGTAGTTGATGGGAAACGAGAAGCCCCTATGGAACACCTCAAACATCCAGGCTGATTTGAAGCACTGATACTTAAGCCGATGGAGATCAGCATGCGACGCATACAGTCCTCGGTCAAAGCGATCCCGCAAGATCGACCACTTCGTTGCACAATAATCCTTTGCAGCTTTAGTGAATTTAGCAGCATTGTAGTCTCCCCCCATGCATAAAAGATCCTCAGTACAATAGTAGAATTCAGAAAAGCCATAGAATTCGCTGTTTCGGAAGTGAATTGGGGGCTGGTAGACCCCATTGAGGGAAGTCTGCGTCTCATTGGTTTTGTTCATGAAAGGCTGGAGGGTCTCCCGGCAGAGGTCGAAGTCTCCTGTCCCCCGAAGGTACATGGTCTGCCCGTTTTGCTGGATCTCATCTTTAATGTCAAGGGGCAGGCAGGGGTCCAGGCACGGAGCCTCACGAGTCAGACCGGGCTGTTTGCCCAGCAGCCTGTTCTTCTGAAACACGCTGGCCAACAGTCTGTCTTCGTATCTCTGTCGAGCAGCATTGCCACCAAACCCAAGGAACGTGGCGAAGTAGACCCAGTACCCATGCTCAGTTTGGTGCACATCACATCCCAAGTTAAATTCTGATAACAAGTTTTTAGCTACTTCCTCAGTTTCGGGGACTTCGTATACTATCTGAGTGGACACGCCTCCCGTGTCCAGGGTGCCTGCCGTTCTCTTATGGATGATGGCCTCGCTGTTCTCCCTGCCAAGAAGGCTGACCTCCACGATGGCCTCGTCGTCCTCTTCAATATGCTCAAATCGTCCAAGGACAAAATTGATGCCAATCCAAGCCTACATACCTTCTTGCTTCCCTGAAATGACTTTGGCGTGTGAGTCAGAAAACAGAAAGTCAAAGTGCACAGGGATGTCAGTCAGGAGGTCTTCCAGAATGGCTTTCTGCTGGCTTTCGGGAAGAACTCTCATGCCAGCTCTGCAGAGAATGTAGAGTGGTGTCTCTTTGTGTTTTGCCCGTGGCACGAGCTCTGCAGCGAAGTTCAAAAGAGGAGAAATGGAATCGCTGACTTTCTCCGGAGAGGTAGCAAATTCTGAGATGCCTGGTTTTATTTTCATCACCACTGGTTTTCGGTTTTTAGCCCTCATTTGTCTGATATCCAGCAGATCCCGAGGATTGCCATTGGCCAACAATAGACGAATATCCGAGACCCACTGCTCCCACAGTCTACCACAATACCGTAGTTCACATTGGGGTTGCTGGTGTCTGTAGCCTCAATGTCCGTGACTCGGGCCAAGTACCTCTGAAACTTCCTGTCTTTGGATAGTCGCCCATACTTATTTCGGATTATGAGAACAGAGAAGTATAAAAGTGAGACAGCAGCAGCCAAAACGCTAATAACAACAATTTGGCGTAAATTGGTGCTCAGAATTCGAGGACAGCTCACTGGAGAGATGCTAAAGTGCCAAGAAGCAGGAAAAAGACAGGAGATACCAATCCTCTCCATACTGAAAAAGGCCAGAGACCGGGCAATTCTGTGGAGGCCAGTACTTCTCACACAGAGTTACAGAAAGGTGCTGGGGTCCTTCTTGAGTTACCGTCCTCCTGTTCCAGGAACTGCTCGGCAGGCCGGGGCTCCCGGGAGCGCAGGGCCGCGAGCAGGCGGCATCACGCCCGCCAGACAGGGGACCGGGAGGGGGCGGAAGCAGCGGCGGCAGTGGCGGAGAGGACCCGGCTTCCTGGGGGCTGTGCTCCCTTCTGGGAGCCTCGGCTCCTCACCGCTCGCGGCCCCGCCGGCGTCCGCGTCACGGTCCGCGTCACGGTCCGCGTCACGGCCCGCGTCACGGCCCGTGTCTGAAGCGCCTGTCTGAGGGATTTTGCAGCCAGGGGATGTGCTTGCCCCAGCCCACCCCAGCCTGTGTAGGATTCAAGCACCTGGGGTGATGCCCCAGAGCAGCCTCCAGATAAGGAGGCTGGCAGTGCCCGGATAAACACCCCAATTTCCTCACCCTCACTGAAAGCTGCTATCAGGTATGGGCTCCACCAGGAACTAAGTCCAGGCTGGCCAAGGCAGAGACTGGCTTAGTAACATGGCCTCCGCAGACTGTACTTCTCCCCACCACCATGGGTTTTTCCTGGAATCACTTCCCAGCATAACTATTTGCTTCTTGGAGATACTGGATTAAGATTGATTTTTTTAAAAGTTTTTTTTAAACAAAAGATGGAATTGAAGCCTTTTTAAAAATACTTCCCTGAAACATTTAAAAAACAAAACAGAGAACTCACTTGCTGGAAGGCAGCATGAATACCTCACAAGTGTGCATAACACTTCTATTGTTTCTGTCTTTACGTGACATCTAAAATGCTCAAATTAGGTGTAGAATCATACCCAGAGTGAATTGTGCTTAGAATCCTACTAGGGAAGAGAAGAGAATAGTAGTAAATGCTTACTTCCCATAGATCTGGCACTGAACATATAATGATCTCATTTAAATCCCATAGTCTTGGGAAGATGGTATTACTGCCTTATTTTTCAGCCAAAAACATTACTATGTGATAAAGCTATAGAGTTGGGGATTGTATTTTATTGCTTTTTTATCCAGTTCTTAGCACAGAGGGTGGCACATAGTTAAGCCTTTAGCAATATTGTTCAATAAATGTATAAATGACATTATAAGTATCTTGTCCAAGTTCACAGGGCCAGTTATTTGTAGAGCCGGGATCGCACCACCTTGTGCTACTCAAAGAAAAGTAACTTGTTGATTTTTGCAAAAAACACTACCACACTTTGATCAATGCAGTAAGTCTGAGCAAATTTCTTTATGGTGTCTCTAGAAGAAATAAAAGCTGGAGCTTTATGCTCTTTTCCCCTAATACATTATGTAATTGATAGGCAACTGAACAGAATGATAACTGCATATTTATTGTCATTTTAATGAAAAGCAATTTGTTGTGACTTTTAAAAACTAAGCAAATATTACATCTTGGTGAAAGATGTAGGCTCTAAGGGGGAAAAAGCTGACTTTTAAAAATAAGGGGG